TTTCTTTTATGCTTTATTCTGTTTTTTTTATTGTTGTTACGTCATGCTTTATTTTCACTTACGTTATATGCTTTATTCACTACCTCAGTTCATGTTCCTTGACTGCTTGCTGGTGTATTATTGGTCCTTGTACATGATCAAACCAACTTGGGTGGAATTTATGAGGCTCACGTAGTGGCACGCCTCAGAGTAATGCATCCCAAAAATACCCTTTTTTTTTTCAAAGCAATACATCCCAAAAATACCTTAAGTCCTGCATTATTTTATTTAACAATGTTTTCTTTATTGAAACACTATTTTGGTGTTTCTATTACTTACATTTCTATAATATTTTAAATGGTGGAATCTTAACTGCTTAACTTTTCTAATAATCATGTAATTTTAGCAATTTTAAGCTGACAGGGTAAAGTCTAATTTGCCAATAAATTGTGGTTTTTAAATAATTTTATTGTTGGTGGGATTTAGATCCACATGTCCTGTTGATAAAGGCAATATTTTTCAAATTAGTTGGTGTTGTTACTTTCATAGCACTGTGACATATGGAATTTGTTTTTCAATAAATATAATTGTCTATCATCATTTTTTTTAGTTGATGTGTAATCTTACGATTCTTGATTCAATTCGATTCACAATTCCACTATTAGGATTTTGTTTCTTGAATTGACAACTATGATACAATATAACTGGGACTTTTGATGCACTTGTGGAAGTAAGAATAGCTGTCTTCAATGTTATCTTTGGAAGGTGAGCTATCTTGGTTAGTATTCTGTTCTTTGATTATTATATTTCCCATCTTCAGCTGGTCTTAATTTTTTGTCAAACGATTCTGTTTGTCAGTCAAATGGGCAGTTACGTGTTCCAAACAAACTGTGAGTGCTTACTATGTGTGAAATGTGAGCTTTATCTTTTATGCATTCTTGCTTTTATAGCTGATCATGCTAATTGTTCTTTTTGACTATGATATTTATTCTAGCTTCTTGGGTTTGATCTACACTAAGTACTGTGCAACTTGTGTGAAATCAAACTTACGTTGGTTTTTATATTGTGAATTGGATTGTTTTTTTCGATTTTGACATCTTATTTATCTAATTTAGGACAATAATAAAATGCTAGTTGTTGGATAATTGCCACATGTATTTCTTTGTTTTTATTTGTTTCCGTTCTGTATAAATCAGTGATGACAATACTCAACACTCTCAGCATTCCTCTATTCGTGTTGGCTGAACCACACGCAGCCATGACAATACTTAATTACAGTTTTTTATCAACTCAAATTAACATTCCTTTGTGAATTGGGGGGGGAGGGAATCTAAATCAACAACCAAGTGTGTGTGCTATTTTGACAACCGAGAAGAAACAACTTAGAAGTCTCTCATAGGCAAACTATCAAACATGTTGTGGCCATGGCAGTATAAGCCAACATATCAGCACTTTTCTTCACCCCCATTGCCATTCTGCTTCTCATATCTAACTAATGTACTTGAAAAAAAAAATAAAAAAAAAGTCAGCGAACCTTAGATCCCAACTATGTTGTAGTCTTTAATTGTGGAGGATGATTGATACAAAAATTAGCCCTAAACCGAAGCCTCAAAGAACTGAATAAATGTAAAATACCTCTAATGTTGGGAGGGTGGGAGCCGAGAGAGAGTGGGTGTTGATCAATGGCGACGGTGATGATGAGCAGCGACGGCGGTGGTGAGCCCTGTTGAGACCACCGTCTCTGTTTGAATCAAATTGTTGAAAGATGTTTCTCTGATCTGTTACCTCTGTTAGCCAGTTTCAGAAAAGAAAGAATTTCGAACGTGAGAGAGAGATCATAGAGGGAGTTGAAGAGAGAATGTGAGAGATAACGTGTAGAGAGGGAGTTGAAGAGAAGGTGTTTGGGCAGACATGGGAGAGAGAGAGAGAAAGCAAAGAGTGTTTGGGCGGGAATAAAAATGATCTCAACTGTTAGATAGTATATAGAAATCATCTCAATCATTGGATCAAAATGTATCTCACGTACATTTTGATACATTTTTCAAAAAGCTTTGTGCCTTATTATATAGATTTATTTGTTACTTTTTGTTGGGAAGATATACTTTAACTTTATTATTTAAGGATTATTTGATTTGAGATATTTTAAATAAATGTATTTTTTAATTTTTTATAAAATAATATGTAGAATAGTAGGGATGATAATTTAAATCCGACCTGATAGGGACTCGCTTCCCCGTCTCCGATAAGAGTGATTTTTTCTCAAAAAATACTCTCGACGGGCTGGGGATGGTATTTGAAATTGAATCCCCGATCAGTTTCAGGCCAGGGACGAGAATAACTTTACAGCCCCGGACTCGGCCCGTCCTTGTTCCCGTTTCTTCTCAAAATGAAATTACCATAATACTCTCTATTCATTCACACACACATATATATATATATATATAACCCCCTATATGTTTCTCCTCTGATATCTCTCTCTCTTTCTTCCGTCTACTCTCTCTCACACTATCTTCTCTTCGTAGTCGGCGATGACTCTCTTTCACTCACCCTTCTCTTAGCAGTCGGCGACGGCTCTTTCTCACTCATTATTCTCTTCGCAGTGGCAACGGCGTCGTCTCCTCCTCCTCGGCAGTACGCATACCCTCGTCTCCTCCTTCTCCACGCCATCGCTGAACCTTTATACTCTAGCTTTAGTTTCTGCCACGGTAGATCTAGGCAGATCTGAGCAGATCCCGCTACCGTCGATTTCCTTTTTCTTACATCTCACATCTCAGATCTGAGAAGATCAGATCCCGCCATTTATGTGTATGTGTATACATGTATATGTGTTGCCGTGTGTGTCTCTATCTGTCTCCATTTCTTATTCTTTTTTTTTTTTTTTGATGATGTTGTTGTTGATGAAAATGATGTTGTTGTTGATGATTTATTATTGAGAAAGAAAGCTAAATAGAGAGTGAGTGAGTGAGAGAAAGAGAGAGAGAGAGAGAGAGAGCTGCAGGGATTTTTCGGGGTCAAGGAAACTCGATCCCCGTTAGGAGGCGGGGGAGGGGGGCGGTGATAGGTTTCCTGTCAGGGATCGGCCGTCGGGGATCAAGGACGGGGACGGGGACGGGGAATTTTGTATCTTCGGGGATCAGGGACAGGGAGTGCGGTCCCCAACCCCGTCCCGTTGCCATTCCTATAGAAAAGTAGAGAAAATGAGTAGAAAAATAGAGAGGAGATATTAATAGATGTTGATTGATGTGATCCAAATAAGTGTAGGTATGCAAAAAAGTGTACTTTTTTAGTGCATGCCAAATAATCATATTTTTTTATCTTTTTATTTTTTTAGGTCATATCATTTTTTTATTTATCTGTACATCTTTTCATAAAAAGTTAAAAAATATATTTATTTAACATTTTTCAAACAACCACTTAATCTAAATATATAATAGATGAAGGGCAAGTAGAACATTAGTGCATAAATTTCGGTAGGTTCAGTTTCGACGGATCAATTAATTCACAGATCGATGTCGACTGACCAATCAAATTTTTTGAAGACTATGAAACCATTGCCGACTGTTTAAGCTATTGAAATCAACCGTTAGGCTTTGGATTGGTCCAGATCGACCGAGTGGGTCGGTTATTTCGGATCCTTAAATAGCCTTACAAGAAATACATAAAAAAGAAATTGACAATGGACCAACAAACAGAGAACGCAGGAACGCATGTGCTCTCTCCAAGAGCATATGCGTTTACATCCATCAACGTCTCCATTAGAACCTTGAAAGGGAATTGAGGATCTGTCGCAACCCAAGATAACAAGAAGGAGAATGAATAATCAAACATTTTAACTGTGCTCCAGTCACCTCTGAGCTATCACTGCCTAACCTTAGATGTGCAATTTCCATCTACGCATAAAAATGGGAACTTTTGTAACAAACTAGGGCAAAAGTTTCAGTACAGAGAGGAAATGCTAAGGGAGATAGAAGAATTAGAAAAGGATATAACTGAGAATTTGGGTGTGATTGAGCAGAAAGATTGTGATTTTTTATCACCATGAAAATACAGATTTCCCTAAAAAATCTATTAACCTACTCCGCTATTTTCCTTTTTCAATTTTTAATTTTCAGTCTCCAGCTAATTGAAGGATTTTTGTTAAGATGATTTTAATATCTCTGATGAAGTCTTTAGCAAAAATAAAAAGATTATAAAAGAAAAGTTTGACGAAATTCATGGTGTTGTCGGAGAAGGAGAAGGAGAAGGAGAAGAAAAAGAAAAAAAGAGATTAAAAAAATAATTTGCCAATATCCATAGTGTTGTCGGAGAGGAAGAAGGAGCTTAAAAAAAAAAAAAAAAATGCAAAAAAAAAAAAAAAAAAAAGCCAAAACCCATTGTGTGTCGAAGGAGGAAAAAAAAAAAGGATTAAAAAAATAGTTTGTCAGGAAATAAGAAGAAGAAAGATAAGAGATTTAAAAAAAATAAATAAATAAAATGTTGTTTTGGCAATTCAGTTAAAAGTCATCTTTTTTTTTTGATTTTTTAATTTTTTTTGAATTATATGATCTCTTTATTTTTTTATATGTTTTTTTAAAAAAATAAAAAAAATTACTTTTTAACCCGAGAGAGAATGAATGAGAGAAGATAAATAGTGAAGGAAAAAAAATCACTGTTGAATGAGACACTTGACCAATGTCCCCGTTACCAGTTTTGATTTTGGATGGCTAACAAGATTCTAATCTAATGGTTGAAAATTATTTGAGTTATGTTAGGTAAAGGATTCTAAATAAATTATTAAATTTTTCACATTAAATGTTTTATTAAATTTTTTTACATGAATGTAAGATTTATTTATTTACGTTAATAATTTATTTAGGATCTATAACATTTTTTAAATTATTTTCATGTATGGTTGGACCACTGAGAGGTACGGCGCCAATTAGACTATCAACAACAATAAAATCCCGGAAAGTATCTCTCACCGACACCGTCCAAAACTTTTAATCGGACGGTTATGACACCAAGACTCGAGCAGTCTCGAATTTGAGCTTTTCCTCCATAAAAGTGCTTATTTTCCACGCTGTCTACACAGCTTTCAGTCTCTAGCTCGCTGACTTCCTTTTTCTTGGTCAATTTTTGTAGTTTTCTTTACTGTGATTTTTCTGTTTGGTTCGCGGGAAAGATGATGGGAAAAGGTGAAGGACCGGCGATCGGAATCGATCTCGGAACGACTTACTCATGTGTGGGAGTTTGGCAACACGATCATGTTGAAATCATAGCAAATGATCAAGGAAACAGGACGACGCCATCTTATGTTGCTTTCACTGATACAGAGCGTTTGATCGGCGATGCTGCCAAGAATCAGGCTGCCATGAACCCTACCAACACTGTCTTTGGTAAGTTCTAAGCTCTTCAATTTTCTTGCTTAAATTGACTGTTTTTTTACATGAATATTTGTACTACATGCTCACTGATTTACTAGTTGATGAACAATTCCGTATATATTTGACATCTAGATGCATATACTGTGGTTATTTCTTCAATTCCGCACAATGTAACTGTGTACTCGTTTTTATTACAAGCAAGTTGTGTGAATTACTAAATAATGTGTAAATTAATAAGGCTCTCAAAGGGCTCCAAGCTTCCTATGGTCCTGTGTTCTTCTACTGTCTACATGCATATGAAGTTCATTTTTTTCCTTCTGATATAGTTGATTCAGTATGAGGTTTAGCGGTCGAGTCACTGGAGCGAGCGACTGTAATCCAACTTATCTCCCCAACGTCCTATGGTATGGGAAAAAAAAAAAAAAAATCAAACATTAAATCATCTATATAACGACGACAACACCTCTAAGTTACTGTCCGTTATTGATTTGGCTAAAATTAAAATTTTAACTTGTTTTTTCTGTACATTTTTTTTTTTAATTTTGAGTTTATTTATTTATTTTTACTTTATAGGTCTTTCTCTGATTCTTAAAAAAAGAAAGAAAGTGAACTTGGTTTTTATTTTATTTTATTAAAGGCACAAATTATATGAGAAAAGTAAGGCCATGAATAATTGATTTACGGTTGTCCAGTGTAAATGACACGCCATCAACGTTCGAGGGAGCGATCAAAAAAAAAAAAAACGTTAGAGGGAAACTTTTCCGTGTTTTGTAGAAAATGCAATTTCTATGGCAACAATTTCAAGAATTCCTTTACCTGAAAAGAAACGTCATCAAACTTAACCATGGTTTATTTTTTTCAAGCAAGTCTCATGCATTTAGGGTTTGTTTGGGATTGCCATTTTATTATTTTTTTTATTTTTTTGAAAGGTGAAACCCAGCAATTCTCATATTATTAGAGCTCTTGCTCTAGAGCTTGGAAACATTTTTCTTTGAAAAATTATTAATTTTTTTTAGTGTAAAATGTTGATTTAACATTTCAAGGGCTGTTTGGGAAGTAATTTTTTTAATTTTTTAACTAAAATATGTGATAAAAAAATCATATGTTTGGGAAGAACAGTTTGGTATTTTACAAGGAAAAAAAATGTACAAAAAGTAGAGTGAAAAGAAATAAAAATTTCACATTTTTGTGAGAATTTAAAACTTTTCAATTTTTTGGCCTTCTTAGGCCTTGTTTGGAAATATGTAATTTTAGAAATATTTTGATTTTTTAGCTAAAATATTAGGTAAAAAAATTAGTATGCTTGGAATGACTTTTTGATTTTTTACGAAAAAATATATAAAAATTAGAGAGAAAAGAGAATATTTGACTTTTTGGTATAAGTTATAGGCTTTGTGATTTTTTTAGTAATTTTTTGACTTTTAAGTTAAAATTATTGCATGCCAAACGAAGCCTTAGTTCTTCTTCTTTTTTTTTTCTGACTAAAATAGTCTTATCCAATTTTTTTTTTTTTTTTTTTTTTTTTTGACTAAAATAGTCTTATCCAAATAAACTTTTAATTTTTTTAACTGAGGACCAACAAATTGATAATTTTTTAAACTTTTTTTAAATTGAATAATGGACTTTTTTGTCATTATTCTAAACGTCTATTTAATTTGTGAGATTCAAAATTGAAATTTCTTCTCACTCAATTTTGAATCTCATGAATTAAATGAGTGTTTAGAATAATGATAAAAAAAAAATTCAAAGATAAATTATGCCGACAGTCCTTGAAGTTTTTGTTTAATATAGACCTCTCTTTATATTTGAAAAATATATTTCCCTTCTTGAAATTTGTAATTTTATTACAAATTGTCTTCCAGATTGTTAATGTCATGCCATAAATTTTTTTAAATGATCATCTTACTGTTTTTTTTTTTTTACCATTTTTTATTTCTATCATCGTGACTATATTTTATAACTTTTTATTATTAAATTCTAAATGAACATGTTCTTATTAAGTGATGATATACAACTATAAATTTTATATAGAATTTTCAAATATAATGATATAGCTTGATGGTGACTTTTCATTTTAAAACAAAACACTCATAAGCATGATTTATATTTACATTAATATCACTATTTTAACATTTTTATAATATTTTTTGTATAAATTTTTATATATGAATATAATTTTTTTTTTTTTTTACTATTATATCTAGATTATGTCAATTTAGTCCTTGTTTGGTAAACATTTTGGGGTTAAAAAAGTATAAAAAGACAAAATAGGCTATATAAGTCAATAAGACAAAATGTCACATTCAAACAATAATCATTACACTTTTTCTCACTCAAAAGTCAAAAAGGCCCAAAAACAAAAACCAAACGAGGCTAAAAAAGTTAAGTTAAAAAAGTTTCAACACAAAAAAGTTAGTTATCATAGTCAATGCAAAACAAAGCTTTAATCTAGATATATTTAAAAAGTATAAAATTCATACAAAAAATTTTTAAAAAAAATTCATTGAATACAACAAAATGAGATAATGTATTGAATTTTTATATTTTTTTGTATTTGGTGAATTCAAAAAAATTATTAAATATTATACTTTTGAAGTATATCTAGATTAGGTATATCTAAAAAATAAAAAATTATTTAAAATATTTAAGAAATTCAATAAAAATTAAAAATGAAAAATAAAATAATTCAATTTTTTGTGTGAGTTAGACCAAAGAAGGTGATTATTATTATTTTTTTGAAATGACATAAACAAAATATATGTATTATTTTATTATTTTATATGTATAAAGGTTAAGAGGCAAATATGTTAGTTTAATCTGACAAGAGATAAATGTAATTTTTCAAATATAATGAGAGATCTGTATTAAATAGAAACTTTAAGAAGTGTCAGTGTAATTTATTCAAAAATATAAAAAAAAATTAAAAAGCTTTTAAGTTATTTGTCATTAATTTAAACGGAGCTGCTACGTAGCTTGAAACAGAGCTGGCCCGAAATGGCTCGAATTCAAAAATGACATCGTTTTTGATTTTTTTTTTCCTGAAACAGAGAGGGAAGAGAAGAACGAGAGAAGAGGGAGGGAGAACTAAGAACCAAATAGATCAACAATCCTAATACATCATCATCAACAACAACCAAATGTAGAATCAACAATACATCATCAATCTGAAAAAATGAAAAAATACAACATGAATAATCAAATGAAAAAATGTAGAATCAACAATCTAAAAAATAAAAATAAAAATGTAGAATCTAAAAGTATACACAGATCTGTGTGTATATAGATCGTTTTTCAATTTTTTTTTTTTTCCTTTTCTCTCTGAAACAGAGAAGACCGGACTGGTTGTGGGGAGATCGGAGGTGGCAACGACGATGGCGGCATCGGGCGAGCCCCTCTGTGTATACACACAGATCTGTGTGTATACAAATCGTTTTTGATTTTTTTTTTCTTTTCCTTTTCTCTCTAAAACAGAGAAGGGAGAGAAGAAAGACAAGGGATGGTTCGACCGGACTGGTTTTGGGGAGATCGAAGGCGGCAACGACAATAGCGATCGAAGGCGGCAACGACGATGGCGGCGTCGATCGACGGCTGAGCCCCTCTCTCTCTGTGCTCCCTCTTTCTCTTTGTCTCTCTCTTTCTCTTTCTCATTCTCAGAGATATAAGAGGGAAAAAAAAAAAAACCTGCCCAAAACGAGCAGTTGAGCCATTCGGGGCAACGGAATTTTGAGCTACGAAGTATTATCCTAATTTAAAACCTTAAAATGTCACATCAAGAACTGTCGACTCAATTTTGAATCTCACAAATTAAGTGGTGGTTTGGAATAATCTAAATAAGTGTACTTTTTAATTTTTTTATGAAATATGAGTTGTGTATGGGTTGGGTTTGCAATGATGTGGTAGAGAGGTGATGTGACTTAAATAGGATAATGTCTTTTTGACTTTTCTAAGTTATGACAAATAAGACCTAAGTCGTGTTTGAAGATAATGACCATTGTAATAAAATAAATTTTGAATTTTTTATTTTGCCAATTTAAATCTTAATCATTTAATTTATTTTTAATGTAAATCATTTACTTATTTTCGTTAAGTAAAATTAACAAAATAATAGTATTTTAGTTATTAAACTCAATTGAAGTGCACATAAAGTATTTAAAACATTTTTTTTGGTTGAGTTTAATGACTAAATATTATTTTTTTAATCAATTTTATTTAAAGAAAGTAGGAAAATGATCTAAATTGAAATAAATCAAAAGATTAAGGTTTAATTAATAAAATAAAAATTTCCAAGTTAAATAGGACATCAATTCCTAAATCTCTTTTCACTTATTTGTATTCTACTTTGTTCAAATTATTTTTTTTATATTTCAATAAATCCTACAAAAATACTGCTAATAATAATAGGATAAAGCACGCATTAATATTTACGTTAATAGTAAATATTTTACACTGTCAAATTTATTTAATATGAATATTCACATTACTACGTTATCAAAGGTTCAAAAATATTTATAAGGATAAAATTGTTCATAATAAAAGAATTAGGATTTGGTAGGTTAATGTCTAAAATAATAGGACTTATTAAAAATATAAAAATATCTTATAAACTAATTGAAATATAAGTATTTGAAAGAGAACTTTCTAATAAATTTATCTTTGTTTATAAGGGTCAAATCTTAAGTTTTTTTTTTTAATTTATAATTTTTTCAAAAAATTATAAAAATAATTAAATTGTTTGTCATCAATTAAAAATTTTAAAATATAACATCAATTTTTTCATTCCAAAAAAAAATATATCTTTTAGCAACTTTTTAAACGCATTAACTTCTAAGAAAACAGAAAATGATTAAAAATGCCACCCCCAAACAAACTCTAAATAAATGAGACCCACTTGAAAGGATAAACCGTCAACTTCTATAAAAAAACACCGAAAAGCAATTTTCTTCCATAATGTTGATGCGTGTCATTGAGCAATTGGACAATCGTAAATGAACTATTCATGGGATTTTTTTGCA